GCCCGAGCCTCCGCGAGCCGCGGGACCGGCCGCAGGCTCCGACTCCCGTCGCGGCTCTGGCTGCGGGTTCGGCCGCGGGCTGTGGCTGCGGGCTGTGGCCGGACCAGCCTTGCGCTCTGAGCTGAGCTTATTTCTTTAGTTCAGTGCTGGAGTCACTGATTTACCCAGATACCATTGGAAGAAAAAATGTGATTGATCCATTTCCATTCCATTATATTAACCCTTTGTTTCCTAAGAAATATCAGTCCAAGTTTATAACACTGATCTAGAAATTATTACTATTGTAGTGTTCATTACTCACAGCATAAAAAATATTAGTAGTACAAACGTCCATTCAATATTTTTTCTTGAGCCTTCAGAACACCTTGAAGGCTCTGAGGTTCCCCTGTGAAAGAAATACTGTTGGCACAACAAATGTTTGGCTCTTTCATTTACATTTCCAATAAACGAGCGCTATACTCTACTTTTTAATTCATTAATTGGTTTTGCGTATAACATGCGATTAATCGCGCTTAATCACTAGAACTCATGCGATTAATTGCGATTACATTTTTTTATTTTTGCCCAGCCCTATTATAAACTCATTGTGGTGAATAATTAGGATGTTCAGAAAGCATAAGGAAAGTGAGGAAGAACTTTGGATCACTGCAAACTGTTTACAGTGAACTTGTTCTGTTTTTAACATTTGTCTGTTTAGTCCAGATGAGGAAAATACCAATACTGAAGACCACGATGAGTCCAATCACCCTGCAGCCAGCCTTAACAATTACAAAAAAACTCTTTCATGACATATCAGAGTTGTTCAGGTTTATATTTTGTATTTTGGTTCTAACCATTCTCCAATCAGAAAACAGAATGAGCTATTCACTTCAGGTTGCCAGATCCTACGGCCAAATCTATGGCATATGTCCTCAATACATGACAGAGAATGGATTCCCAAGTTTCCCATTTAATTCAGTCAAACAGCTAAGAACTAAACAGACCAAAACAAGACCAACATGCTACTGTTATAAAACTCTTCTGGTCAGTAAAATGATTTTGTTTCATAGTAAAGACCTTTGAATAATTAATACTATATTCCCTTTTGTATCATAGTTCAGTTCCTGGAGGAGAAATAGGATGAATAAAAGCAGCACAGGCCTTTGTTAAAATATAAAGAGTACCGTGTTAGTGATGTGTAAAGGGTTTGATTCAATGATGTAACTCAAATCGATACAGATCTATTTTTAACCAAAGGGGGCGCTGTGGAAGAGCAGAGGAAACAGAGCAGCTCAAAACAAAAGTTCACAATATGACAACACATTAGAGAATATGCTTGCACTGGCACAACTATTATTATCAGAAAGAAGACTGTAGTCAGTGACATATATTTAAGAGGCAGTATTACATTATTCATTATTAACACACAACATATTTAAGTGTCAGTTTCTTTTTTGATGCTTTGAGTCTCTCCTCCCTTTGCTTCCCACACTCCCCCAAAGTGAGATCACAACACAGTGTGCATCCACTAATGAAACTACTGCACTTTGCATCAAGTTGTAGTGTAATGTTTTTTATCCTTCACATGTACATAAATGTATGAAAAATTACCGTGCTACAGCTTGTGGGTGGAGCCTTGTACAAGCTCGTACTGCTAGGGTTGAACATGGATGGTATATTGATTTTGCATAATACCCCCACTTAAAGTATTTAAGTCATGATCAATATTTAAAAATGATTTTGTAGGACCTCCCTCCTACACATGGCCCCAGGGACCCCCAGCAGTCCCCACACCCCAGTTTGAGAATAGTGAAGCATTTCACCATGTGGCCTCTGTACTCGTGTGCAGGACTGTTAGTGTTACAGTCAGTGCACCTCTAAATTACACGTCTGGTTTCTGTTCAGGGCCACTGAACCTGAACTTGACTTTCAACTCAAGGAAAGAGTCTAACTAAAAACAGCAGTGAGTCTGTACCGCTCAAACAGCTCACTCCAAGAAATACACACACAAAAATATGAAATTCAATTAAAGGTACTGTGGAACTTTCTGGAGATGGTTCATCATGACTCCATGAAAATAGAAAGTTAAAACTATACTCACATATTGTGGCTTTAATAGTATTAAACCAAATGATTCATTTCACAACTAGAAAAGCACTCAGAGAGCGCAGACCTCCGCCAAGGACTACAGTCCCCCTCATATTAATTGTTTTTTCCATAAATATTTGTCTCGTATCTTTCAATTTGGAATATGAAAGAGGATCAAATTGTCCATCCCTGAGTCAAATTTCATGGGGTTTGGTCAATAATTAACCGAGATATTGAGAAACTAAATTTTTGGCCCCATTTACCACAATGTTAACTAAAATTTCAAAGTGATCCAGAATCCAGGATTTCTTCCGGATCACCCCCAAAATGAAATCAGTTCTTCCTTTTCACATTTCCAACAAATCCTGAAAATTTCATCAAAATCGGTCCATAACTTTTTGAGTTATGTTGCTAACAGGCAAACAAACAAACAAACAAATAAACAGACAAATGCCAGCAAAAACATAACCTCCTTGGCAGAGGTAATAATTACCACTAAAGTTCAATCTTAAATGTGCACTTATTCTTTCCTGGTGGGCTGTGAAATATCATGGAGACTGTATTGTTTTGCCTGGAATGTTCCTCAGTATGGCTTGTGATTATATAAATAAATGCATTCTTACTATTGTTTGGATCAACTCTCCACAGATATGACCTGTAAGTTGTCCTGGTAGCATCATGACTTCATAAAACAGCTGAGACTAGATCATCAAGCAGAAACTCATTTGAACAGGTATCGATACTATAAAAATCACAAATGCACTCCTGAATTCCTGAAAGTCTTTAGAATGATGTTGAGTTGCATCAGATCAAGTGTCAGAGCACATAGGCTGTGTTCAGACTGCAGCCTGAAGTGACCCAAATCCGATTTTTTGGCTTCTATGTGACCTGTATCCGATCTTTTAATGACAGTCTGAACGGCACAGATCCGAATTTTTCAAATGCGACCCAGGCCACTTGGATATGTGGTCCTGAATCCGATACATATTTGATCTTTTGACATGCGACTTCAGTCTCAACGGCCAAAGCGCATCCATCCGACCTACACGTCATTAACAAGCGACAAACGTCATTATTCTGCGCTGAAGCAGGCGGAAACTGGAACTGTAAAATCCCCAGGTGCTCAATGCTCGCGACCATATTTGGACAACTTCCGTAAACACAGAGCATGCTCGCTGCGGTTGACGCATGGGGTTGACGTCATCATGTCTCCAGTGCACATGCGGGACACTTTCGGGCCATTTACCGTTCACACTGAAGTCACAGACAAGTCGCATTTAATTGGAAATGTGAACGACCTCGCAAAAACATCAGATTTCACAAAAAAATCGGAATTGAGCATTAAGCCCTGCAGTCTGAACGTAGCCATAGACTAGTATACACACATGGACCAACAGGAACCTACTGCACCACCGACCATTACACACAGATAAGACACATGGGAATAGAAAAGAAAGTACAACTATTTAATGATGAACATGACCTTCTGTTGTCTAAACAAAGAGTGTTTTTATCATCATGGTATTGGAATTTGTCTTGTCACAAACATTTTATATTGCAGAACACTACTTGGTCATAGAAATGTTTAATGCCATACTGTGGAATATTTCAGGCAATGCAATAACAGACAAATGCAGACCAGCAGGTGCAGACCCTCCCCCAGAAACGTTACACAGTGCAACTTGAATTCAGACTTCCTCCAATTTGAAAACTTTTTGATAAAGGTCTTACATTACCAAAATTGACTTTTGTGAGCATTCAGTTATGTTATAATTAGGGGTGTGCAAAAATATTGAAATATCGATATATCGTATCGTTTAATGTAATGATACAATATTGATATCGTGTGCTGCTGTATCAATATTTAATATTTTTTGGTATATTTTACTAAATTATTTTGTTACTTGTTTGGAGGAAGGGAACATTTTATGTGACACACTTGACATTTTCACTGTTTCCATGATTAAAATGGGGGTGTTTCATATGAACTTTGCACAAGAAATGGTTTAAAGACAGCCATCTAACAAACAGGTCTGAAATATATTGTATTGAATCATATCGAATCGAAAGCTCACTGTATCAAGCTACCGTGCCGCGGCTTATGCATCGAGATATGTATCCTAGTTATAATGTTGTTACTTCCCAAAAAATCATACATGTACATGCTTTGTTCCATTCACACATATTTGAATAAACCTGCATTATTAGTCTGTCTCCATCTCCAAAGCCCAAAATGTTCTGCTCCACCTTGTAGTGGTTTAAATGATCCAAATGATTCTAGTGAAGGTGTATGAAGTTTAAAAACACAGTGGAGCACTTCCTCTATTACCACAGGACATCACAAGTTGGAACAGAGTGTTTTCGGTTGGAGAGAAGAACTCGGCCTAAATATACATAGATCAGAAAATATCAGGGATGGGATGTGACAAAATTTCCACGAGACGAGATACGAGATTGGGTCCAAGACAAGATTTTAACATAATTCTTAATATATACATTTCACAATTTAATTTTCAATGTTGGCTTCACATTTTTTAATTTCTTTGATTTCATATTTTTGTTTCAGTTCTAGTACTTGTTTGAGAGAAGAACTCAGCCTAATAATAAATGTGCAGAGTTTGAGTTAAACATGAGTGAATGAAACAAAACACAACTCCAGGTCTGTTTGTGATGAGGAAACTACATTAAAACACAGATCAGAAAATAGCGTAACATGGGCCCTTTAAAGCGAGACTACGAGACTTTACTGTCACAAAATGACTCTGCAGGGAAAGCGTCGTGCACTTGACTCACATGAAATAAAAATATATAAGCACCGTACAGTGTAATGTAAACTATAGTCGCCATTTTAAGAAGGTCTGGGGAAGGGGGCGAGGAGAAGACAGCAAAATGTGCAAGAGTCTGTGTTAAAATAGCGCAAAATTACGACCTACCTTTTCACATAGTGTCTTGACTTGTCCCTCTGTCAGCTGCTTGCATTCGTTGAGCTGTTCGATCCACTGGTCTAGTTCTTTACACACCTTTTCGTCCATTTTTCTGTCTGTTTTGGGAAGATTCGCAGTAAAAATTCAGAAGTGTGCTCGTCGGCGTCGCAGAATCCGGGAGAGATGCGTGTGACGGCGGCGCGTTGCTTGTTGCGTTCCCCGGGGAGGAGGCGCGTCTGCCGGTGTGCGCTGGGGCTGCTGCTCGGTGCGCTGGAGCTGAAGCTCTGGAGCTTGTGGAGAGTGGCGGGGGAGACGTGAGAGTGCAGTCCGCCCAGAGTGAAGCGTGTGCCGTGCTAAAGTTACACACATCCGGCCGGAGCTTCATAATAAAAGCCTGGTTGTCGCTCACAAAATTAAAAGTTCCTCAATTTCACTATCAATGTCAAATAGAGTTGCGTCAGATAAGAAAAAGTCTACTGTGAATATCAAAACAAACCAAATATAGCTAAATATAGCCTAGGTACTTTCATAATAAATAATAAAAGGTAGGCCTATTATACATTTTAGATTAAGTATTGTCTGTTCCTAATAAATTAGCCTAAAGCTGAACATCATGAGTGAGTTCACACTCCCTTAGTCCACTTCCATTACACAATCTATGCCCAGAAGAGATCGCTATATTACTCAAACATGCATGAATGACATCTAAAACCTCTTCAGGCATGTTTTTGATGAGGGAACATTAGAACATGATTGAAAGCTCCAAAAAAGTCACTTCTGCATAATACCTCCTCATTCATTTTTATTTATTTATTTATTTGTACAATATTTCACCAGGTAAGTCACTTGAGAACATCTCATTTACAGTGACGACCCGGCCAAGAGGCAGCACAAAACAGCACAAGCAGAATATAAACACTTACCCATCAATCAGAACATCAAACAGTGAATTGATTGAAAGATGAGACAGTGAAACACTGCTGCCTCCTTGACCCTGCTCCATATATGTCAAAGAAAATGAATGGATGGATGGATGGACAGTGAAACATTTGCAGATTAAAGATAAAGTGTTAAAATCATGCACACTGATCCTATAAAATACTGATGGAGTTTTCTAAAAGTCGACAGAGGTAAAAACGCACTAAGTTAAAGTGTGATGAAGGTGACTCCAGTCACTTGCTGTAGAATTGAAATGAGGAACAGCTCAAAGCTGTGCAGGCTTCAGGAACGACCAGGCTCATGTTTCTGTTGGAGTGCAGTGTGTGGCTAGAGCTGTGGATGTGCAGGAGTGAGCTGAGGTAGGACGGAGTTTTACAAATTAAACATTTTTAAATCAACAATAACCATTGGGTTAGTCTGTGTGTGTGGAGAGAGGGACAGGAGTAATGTGCACAGTGATGGTGTAAACGTGCACCTGTGACAAAGCGACTGGCACCATGATAAATCACATGGAGCAGTGTTTTTGATGCAGTTTCCATAGTCAATGATCAGCAGAATTGTAGTTTTAACCAAAAGCTCTTCTGCAGGGCAGAACAGTTTTCATGTTGATTAGGAAACCTATTCATAGTTTGGCTTTAGTAAGCAGACTATTAATGTGCATTTCACAATCAAATGAAGAATTAAGCCTTATGCCAAGGTACTAATGATTAATATAATTAATTAATAACATACCGTAGAACATTCCAGGCTAAGCTTTAGAGGTGACCTCCCCATCACAAAGTGACATATTGTACCTTTAAACTGAATACTGAATCTCCAGTGGCCTTACATCATGTTAGGCACATGCAGCTTAACAGCAGCAGCTTCACATTCACAAAGAACTGGAGACAGGTGACTGTGCTCTGCCATTGGTCCATCCTCCTCATCTCCTATTGGCCCAGAGGGAGTGCAGAGACGAGAGGAAGCACGTTGTTAGTGTGATGGTTGGATGATGATGTCAGTGTTTGTGCCTGGCCTACATCCTGCTCAACACTTCCACTCTTTTTTTGGTGGAGTTTTTTTTGGAGGAAAGCACAGATGTGAACAGTACATGCAGTTCATTCATCTGTGTGCTCAGGATGGAACCACGGCTGAACTCACCACATGCACTCTTCCTGTTGGCTAATGTTGATTTTGTGAGTGATCTTTACAGCAGCATAATGGATTTAGTCACTGAAACAAATTCGTCTCATCTTGTCCTGCAGGTGCTTCTCATCTGAACACGACCAAAACTGAACATTAAAATAAAGTGAAACATTTGTGGTGGAGGGTTCAACACCTGCTTGTCTCTTTGCTTTGCCTGGATGTTCCACAGTGTTGACACTTAGCAGCTTATGTTATTAAAATTCCCTAAGGAAGAGGAGGGGGAGGTGGGGGGTTGGGGTATGAAGCTAACAAGAGGCACTATTTTGTCTGAGGCTCTGTTACTCAAGTTAGAGTTAGTTTAATCTGAGCTTTGTTAACACAATCTGACCATAAAGAACTGACTTAATTAGAACTCTGTCAGGTGATTTGATTTGTGCTGTTAAACAAGTCCCTCTAAACAAAAATTACAGTCACAAGCTCGCTAGAATTAGCCCACAGTTTTTCAGTTAGTCACTCTCACCTTTTTGAGGAAAATCAAACTCTTTGTATTGATCACAGGCTCCTGAAAGTGTTTAAATCCAGTTTGTATTTTTGACACCTGCTTGTCTCCATAGAGATGTTTGTTGCTTTGCCTGGAATGTTCCACAGTGTATATAATTTATTATTATTATTATTATTATTATTATTATTATTATTATTATTATTATTATTATTAATAATAATAATAATAATAATTATTATTATTATTATTATTATTATTATTACATTTATATAACACCTTTCAAGATACCCAACACACTACAGATCATTATTTATTCACTCCACACTCAGTGGTGGTAAACTACTAATTGTAGCCACAGCTGCCCTGGGGCAGACAGAAGCGAGGCTGCCAATCTGCGCCATTGCGTATATTTAAAGGTCCTATATTAACATACAAAATGGATTCTTGTGAGCTTTATAGTGCTCTTACATCCTCAGAAACATACCCCGAGTTGTGTTTTGTTTCATTCACATTTGAGCAAGCCTGTATTATAAGTCTCTTTACATCTCCAAAGCTCAAAATTCTCTGTTCCACCTTGTGATGTCATGAAGATTTCATGTTAACAGCTCCTTTTATCTTTAGTTCAGTAGTGATTGGTGACTCCAGGGCTGAAATGATCCAAATGATTCTAGGTGGTGGATGGTGGAAGGTGTATGGAGTTTAAAAACATAATGGAGCATTTCCTGTAATACCACATGACATCACAAGGTGGAACAGTGTTTTTAGTTTGAGAGAACTCAGCCTAAATCTGCAGGGTTTGTGTGTTAAACCAAACACAACTCCAGGTCTGTGTGTGATGAGGAAACATTATAACATAGATCAGAAAACAGAGCTCCTTTAAAACACATTGGCTTTATTGTTATTGCCATATCTGCTATACTGCTGGCCTATTTCTTTATTTTTACTTCTAGACACAAAAACACAAAACATGTGCCCATAACAAATAACTGTCCTATTTTTTGCGTGAGACGTTGGTGATTGACTGCAGGTGTATTTCAGTTCACAGTATGTGTCTAAAGGGAACATGAGGGTCCCACTTACAGATAATAGTTTGTCTATCACGAGTCACTAGAATAAAACACGACAAAGGGTTTCTCAGTTTTAACATGAGAGAAGAACATGTCCTTTTTCTTAAATTCAAGCACATTTCACGATCTACAATTACAGCTGGCCTTTTAAAGTGCTGTACCTGATTTTGACTGTCTTAAAAACGGGGATCTAAAAATAGAACGAGTTCATTTCATTGGGCGACAGTAGCTCATTTGTTAGAGTTTGTCCACTGATCTGAAGGTTGACAGTTCGAATCCCGCTCTTGACGAAAACATCAGTGGGAGATAGGCAGCTCGAATCCTGTTCTCAAAGTGGAAATGCATTATATTAAAACAGGCGTCTCCAACCTTTTTCCTCCGGTGAGCTACCTTTACAAAACAAAAACGCCAGAGAGCTACTCATTTTAACGGCCGCAAGAAATTGAGATGATTATAAGAAATAGGGCGAGCCTTTGGGTTCAGTTAGATGTCTATAAAACATAAACCATTGTCCATTTATTAGTGCATAAAGTTGGGCTTCAATAGTATATATTTAAAATTGTAATGGCTATGTAAATAGGCACATTTTTATTGTTCAGCACAATGGTATAATTCCAAAATCCCTTGGTGAGCTACTTGGAAGGGGATGTCCGACACCCAGACTTACTTGCCCGGAAAAACAAAATGGTGCTCAGTTAATTATATATTTTTAAATATGTGCACAGGCTAGTGTTGTAGTACTCTAGACCTTTTTTTAGGGCCTGGCTCAGCACAACATGCTCCTGGGGCAGATCTGTGTTGATTAATTGATAGCATTTATATAGCGTCTTTCAAGATACCCAAAGCGCTTTACAGTTCATTATTCAGTCACTCCACACTCAGTGGTGGTAAACTACTACTGTAGCCACAGCTGCCCTGGGGCAGACTGACGGAGGCGAGGCTGCCAATCTGAGCCATCAGCCCCTCCGACCACCACCATCACTCACGCTCACACCTCTTTCATACTAGGCAATGCAGGTGAAGTGTCTTGCCTAAGGACACAACAACCCACTGTGGCACCTGGAATTCCTAGCGGTCTCCCATTCAAGAACTACTTAGGCCCAGCCTGCTTAGCTTCTGAGATCTGACGGGATCAGGCTTTTACAAGCCGGTATGGCCACAGTGTCGTGTGAAAGAGCCCATGTCCAGAAATACTGTTAATTAGTGCTTTAAAATTTGCTTTTGAAATCCTCGCGTTTGCCCTGGTCAGCCTGTACAGAAGGTGAATACAAGTCTGTTCAGCTGTTAGGGCCTGGCTTGACTGCACGCACATTTCGCTCTATGCGAGCGTAAAAACTGCAACTTTTGGACGTTTAACTTTTAGAATGCATGGAAAGTGAATGAGGGCGGCTTCACTGCAGGTGCTAGACGCACGTATGGAGCAACGTGTCCTGCACGCGTAGATTTCAGAAAATAGGATCTAGACGCACGTTTGGAGCAACGTGTCCTGCACGCGTAGATTTCAGAAAATAGGATCCATCCTATTTTTTGACACTCTACGCGTGTCCCCATCAAAATACACAGAACATGAATCTTTGGTTGTATTTGTGCCTTTACCGTCAGGACAACGTGCTCCTGGGGCAGATCTGTGTCATGTAAAAGAGCCCAGGTCCAGAAAGACTGATAATAAGAGCTTTAAAATTTACTTTTTTAAATC